ATGAGCTTGCTTTTCGTATATAGTAGATAAGACACGTTCACATATCAAATACGAACGGACAGGTGGAAATCCTTCTTCACGCAAATCCGATTGATATAAGTCAAGTATATGCTGACCATATAAGACATGTATATCAATATCGGGGGTCTTCCACTCCTCCTTCTCCCTGTTTCTTGCATCAAAATATAGATACATATATACACATACCTATACCTTAAGTCGACTTTGATTTTCTTAAATATCCTTTCACATTTCGGGCACAATGTAATTGATTTTTAGTGAATTATTTATTAGTATGGACTCTCATACTACAGTTGTATAGTTCGCGGTCAACGGCGTTGCCTCAGCTTTTCTCACATGTATCTTAATTTTGAAAATGCTTGTGGATGATTAAAGGATATGAGTAGCGAGTATCTTAGCGATATTTACTGCTTGTCTAGATAAACTTACAATGGGTTGCAGTTTTTCGTACCACCTTCAAATGATATTGGTTGGTAAAACTATGGCTTTGTGGTGTATAAGTATAAATAAATATAAATTTGTCAATGGCCTCTGGGCATTCACTTCATATAGTGTCGCTATAGTTGGCTGTTTTTGTAGGATACGAAACCCAAATGTCTGGTTCAGGCTTTTTTAAATTTCCCCTTTACCCTCCCCGGATCAAGTTATGTTGTCCCCTTTTGTAGTTCCCTCAGTGACCTCTAAGATTGTTTTTAGATCTTCTGTAAAATATCAGCTTTATATAAAAAGCTGTAGATAGTACTATTCCATTTCTTACTTATACGGTCTTTTAAGTTTGATTACTTTTCGATTCAAAATCGAACTTCAAACCTCTTAAATGTTGGTCGAAAGAATTTAACGATCGTTCCACAAAAAGCTTCTGTTCACTTCTCAAGTACGTCCTGTGCTTGAACACTTCCAAAACAATATTGTATTTGCTCTCTTCGTGGCTTCAACTGAGATCCCAGCCCTTGTTTCCCACCTTATGGGTGGGGGAATTCAAATCTCCGGAGATGTTAGCTGTTCTGAATTTGTAGGTCAGCACAACTGTTCAGTTCATTGTAGACCAACAAAAAGCGTGTTGTGTGTATAAACTCAGCAGATTCGCAACTGAATGCGCATTGTACAATTTTTTTGCGCGTCATGATTTAAATAAAATGGTTTTTCTCAACTGCTCTCTATCTCTCTACTCAGTAATTTGAAAATCTCTGACAATAATCGGCTGTAAGCAGCGACATAACTTATCGCACTAACTATTAAACTCTCCGTCGGATTGGAGATTTCCCGTTTATATACCCTCACAATTTATTATATCTTTAAAATATAAAATAACTTCCAAATGTTTCATCCATTTGTATATATGTATACATACATATCATGTAAGCACCTTCAAAGTCGGCACCAGGTTGAGTCCATTATGTTGTCCACTATGCCGCTGCCCCTACGAGGCTCAAAACCCAAATGTGCATCGAAGAGGAAATCCAACCAAACAGTTCCCAACGACCTAACTACCCTACCAATGTAAATGAATGCCAAAACCATTGTTCACACTATCGATTGCCTCATTTTTAATTAGATGTTGAAGGAAGCAATACGATACATATGTACACATGAAGCATGCACCTTTATGCTGGCCTTGCGCACAGGCAGCTCCGAAGCTCATGCTCGGAATGTTGACCAAAGTGGCGAGGCATTCCCACGCATCCTTCCTTGGACGTTGCGCATGAAGAAGGCTCACAACACAGCAAAGCCGACGGATTACGAATAAGATTTCCCTTGTCCCATTGCCCCAAGGAAGTTCGTTTCTTCGTATACGATGTAACATTTGTGCCTAAAGATTCGTTATTGAATCCACTTTTAAGGATCACCTAATGAAACGCTCTGGCTTAAAGAGGCCCTGCCCAAAAGTGGCACACACGCATCCTGAAGCATCCTGAAAAGCGAAGAAGCAAAAAAGAAAAATATTCAATGCATACAACTTCCTTTATAATTAACCTATCATGGCGACATTTGGCTTACGGACACGAACGTACACATATGTACGTACATACATACATACTTCACTAACGGAATGTAATTGCCAAATTTTCAAAATTCCAATAATAAGGGGAGTTATGGAAAATCACTAATAGCGGTGGAGTGCGGAGAGGGGTGCATTAGAATTAAAACAAGACAGTAAAATAGCCTGTACTCTCCACACAAAAAAAAAACACAAACAAAAAAATATTAAAAAAAAATTTAATTAAAAAAAAAATGGAATTAATTAACTAAATTAAAAAAGAAAGGAATGCTAAAGCAGGCTAAACTAAATTAAACAAGAAAGGAATGCTAAAGTCGAGCAGGCTCAACTCTTAAATACCCTGTACTACCCAAAAAAAAAAAAAAAAATTATTTAAATCATTTAATTAATTAATTAAATTAAATATAAAATATTCCATACACGCATACATACATTTACATTTACATCAGAATCGTGTCTATTCGTGTTGGTGTACTTGTACATATGTATGTGTGCATTGGACTTGGTTATATGGCTATAACTTTCTTTCTAATCACCCTATCATAATGAATATGACTTAGTATACCTTGTACCCTTTGGGTACAGGGTATAATACAATTTATTTAATATATACATAGAAGACATGCTTATGTACAGTTTCAACAGCATACATCATCGGGTCTATGCGTGCTTATATGCGTGTATGTATGCAGCACAAAGTTGCACCAAAGCAGCAACAACAACAACAGCTGCGGGCAGCATCGGGTTTGGTTATTCTAGCTCTTGTACCTTCTGAGATCCTTGCGCTCATACAAGAATATATATACTTTGTGAGGTCTTCCACGCCTTTTACCCTTTGCGTACAGGCTATAAAAAACAAACTTGATCTGCCTAGGACTTAGGGGAACCTGGATACCAGTTTGGCTATTCTAGCACTTACTTGTATAGTTTCTGAGTTCCTTGCGTTCATACGGACAGACAGAAATTGAATTTTTTACCGTTTGGGTACAGGGTATAAAAATGTAATATACTTCTCAGCTGCATTTTTAATTACTTATTGTAATAGTGTGCACATCACCATCAAGCAAATCGAAGAACCACCAGCTGTAATTAAATTTGTGTCTACACACATACAATCCACAAGCAAAATAGTCGATTTACATTTCATTTAAAATAAGCGCCATCTCTTGGACGAATGAAGCGCCATCTCTTGGACGTTTGTAAAAACAGGGGACGACTTAGTTTCGCGTCACCCCACTATACATAAAGCTCGGCAACAACTTTATGTTAGCGAATGCACACACCCATCCGTAGCAGGATTCAAGAATTACAGTGTTTTGTTCCGTTTTGTGAGAAACGAATGCATATATTAAATAAAACTGTTATTTTTTAAACAAATTGGTCAGATGAGACTATTCAAAAACTCTTTTAAGGTTAATTCAGTTCAGCTACATGCTTGTACATACAAATGATGCTTTTAGCTGTAGATGACTTGTTGTACATACATATACTTACATACATATATATGTACTTGTATATACAAGTGACGTTTCTCATTTCACCGAGGCTGTGCTGACTTATTCACTTTCGTGCATTGATGCGCGACGGCGGGCACACATCAGGCATTAGCACGAAAACTGTGCGGTATTGATTTGTATCGGTATAGATTACACATTGGCCTCGTTTCTAGCTGAAAACAATAATACCGAAACGGTACATACTCGTATGAACTATACACGTACATTCTAAATTCCATCTTAACTCTGAGCTGCTTGAATAATAAGATACCCAATAGAAGTTGAACATTTCATACATATAGTATGTACATACAGTATGTACATATGTATCTCATATTTCAGTTCAACTCCTAAGCCATAGTTACTATTCCACACTCTATTTTTTATAACTTCCCCTTTATTACAGTCCGAAGATCCTGGCATGTATATTACACCTAATTCTGCTTTTACACGGTATATTGGTTCCAGAAAAAGTAGAGTAAAAAACCGTGGAAAAAAAGACATTGATCACATGTTAATTTAAATCGTGCTAAAGGGAATAAAATTTGTAATTTTCAAAACGTGTAAAAAAGATTGTAAAAGCAGAATTTGGTGTACGGTATTTTTTTACACGATTTTGATATAACACGGTTTGAAAATTAAAAATTGCATATATGTATATTTATTTAGAGATAAGGAACCAATTACCTATTTTTGCATATAATTAATGTCTTTTTTACACGGTTGTTTCTGGAACCAACCTACCGTTTAAAAACAGAATTAGGTATATGTTTTAATTATTATTTCAAAATATATACGATACAACAATTATTGATGCTGTCAAAAGGGAGCGGTTGACGCACCCACAAGTGTTAACACGTACACTTCTCAACTTATGTACTTAAGTACACAAAATAATAATAACGTTCAATATGTCTGCTGTATTCAGATACGTTTGTGTGTATGAACTCAGATACATAGTAAAACGTGTTGAGGTGAGTGAGCGCTTTGATGCAACCGCAGATATGCTTACAATCTCAACCACATCGATATAAAAGATTTTGTTTAATTGATACTTGCAGTCAGTGCCTTTGCCGGTCCACGACGCGACAGATTGATTGACAAAATTCAGTTGAGATAGCAACGGATAAATCATGGTTTACGCAGCTCCAACAACCCATTTGAACGCTCATTATGGTTGGGATTTTTTAGATCAGCAGTTATTGCTAATTGCCACAATCGTAAACCATTCTACTGGCCTACTAAGTCCCAACATAATGAGAGTGAAAACCACAGGACCGCGATTTCAAGCGATACTAAAGTTTACCACTCCCTTGAAATTTTTACAAGGCATTGGCGCAAAATATAAGAACCGTAATGCCCTTAGAAATTTCAAAAAATGGCGCAACACAATATAAGAAACGTTTACCGAAAGTGCGTGCTTAAACTGTGCATCAAATGAAAACTTTATAAATACATTCAAACGGGAAATGTTTTTTTTTTAATTTGATTTTTGCAGCTTAACTATAACTATAGGCTAACAATAATCTAATGCTTCACATTCCAAAACCGACTTCGAGTTATAGACGATTGAGAAGCATAAGCGTTCGTTGTACGTTATACCTTGAAGTAACTGGAAAAGGCCAGAGTTAGAAGTTGTTGTTAGTTTCGAGAAAGTTTAGGCACTTACCTTTGGTGTTACAAACAGGTACTGAGCGGAGCCATCTTTGGTGGCTTCATTGAGAAGTAATTCAAAAATATTTCGTTCATTTCTGGCATCCATGCCTTGGTTAATTTCATCAACACATCTGAAATATTAAAATCGGAACTTAATTGAAGGATGCGTTTTGAAAACATGCTAGCACAATAGCATCTGCATAAATCCGTATTACGTTTTATATTTCAGGCATAGAGTATTTATGTCTGCTTACCTGAATGGAACATGAGTTACATGCTGCAGAGACAGGGAATAGACTGCAATGGCCACAGCACGCTCACCACCTGACTGCACGTACTTATCCAAAGTTTGAAGCTTGGCATCCTTTCTATACTTCACCATTATTTGAATGCCATAGGAATCGAAATCAAACTGAAAATATGTAAACAATTTGTATAACGTACGTGATAATGTTTTAAGTATACGAGTATACTGCATACCTAATATTAGGTTGGACGTAAAGTATAGCGTCGGTAATAATGAGTTCAACTTACTTTATCCTTTTTGCACAGCACTACTTCTCCGACGTAACTGATCGACTCCATAAACTCCGAAAACTTATTACTAATCGTTTCTATCAGAGCATTTAGTTTTCGCTCCCAATTGTTGTAGATTTCCTGTATTTTATTTTCAATGTTCTTGCCTTGACCTGCTTTTCTTTGAACGATTTGCTTGAGGTTGTCCACCTCTTGTTTACGTCTTTGGTAGTTGGCGATCGCCTGAAAAGTTACCGTTTCAATTTTAATAAAGGCATTTTCAAGTCTCAACACAACTAATATTTACCTCGGAATCTACATCGCCAAGGCATTCTATTCTAGCTTGGCACTCGTGAATTTTTTCATTAACAACTTCAACGTCATTCTCTTCTTCAAACTCGGCTCGGTGAGGAAAATTTGCATCGGTTGGGATCATACCATTGAACACGCGTTTAACTTCCATTGCTTTTCTGCTCAGCTCATCACTTTGTATTTGAATGAGCCCCTTCAACCGATTGATTGCGGTCTTAAACGATGAAAAATATAAAACTTGACTAACAAAATTCTGTGCAACTTTTGATGATTTGACATACTGTACAATCCCTTAGTTCTGTTTCAGATTCATTGATCAGCTCGGTCTGCAGCTCGTGCTCAGATTTGTGTATGCTTTCCTTCAAAGTGGCCAAAGCCTTTTCAAAAAACAAACGCGTAATGGTCTGACTTTGGATCTGTATGATTCGATCTAATTCCATTATATTTCTGGCGAACGTGGAGACTTCACTGCGATATTTGTTGCGTAGCTCTTCGATAGCTGAAAATAATATGGAATGCAATAATATACTTTAGTTTATAATATACTTTAGTTTTAATCACTTACGGACAAACGATTTTCTTAAATCTTTTAATTCCTGCTCTCGTTTAGCCGCTTCACTTTCTACACTTTTGAAGTAAGCAAGTTTTTTTTCGATAGCAGCTAGTTCGTCCTTATTTTCTTTTGATATAGCACGTATTTGATCAAATTCACTATCCGACTCTCCAAGAGCATTTTTAGACTTATCTTTTTGGCGTATCGCTTCTGTCAGGCTACGATAATGTGAATTAACAATAATAAATGGTAAATTATCCGTATGATAAAGGCCACAAAAGTACTCACCTTTTTTGAAGGGATTCCATTTCTTTTGAACTAACAGTCATAAGAGTACCTCTAGCTTGTACATGGACTTCCGTTAACATTACCTGAGAACGGTACTTAGATACCGTAACGTTGAACCTTTTATTACCTTAAATGTTTATAAAGTTAAGTGAATACTCAGCTATTCAAATATATTTTACAATTTAATTAATTCTGTAATTCCTTACCAGCAAAATATAAACGAATAGTTTTTGGAATTTTCGAGGTATAATTCGTTATTTCTTCTCCGCCAATCGGGATATTATGAATCGAATAGGTTTGACAGAGTTTATTTATTATAGTCGGTGGTCCATGCATTAGATCCGAAAGATACGCAGTAAACCCGTATGCTCTGCTCATGTGATTATATTTGAAGAATTTGGTCGCTTGATCTTATTTATAGGGGCTTACCGTAAATCTTTAAGTGGCACGTAGGGACTATGATGACGCTTTTCAGTAGGTTCACAGTAAATAAAATTCACACGAAGCTTGTTCTCCACGCACACTTTTTGAATAAGCGTTGACATATCGGATTTGTTCTCACATGCGAAAGCCAACAAATCGCGAAATCTGATTACATGTTCCAAATACATTGCAGCTACATCATTATCAGCGGTTATCTAAAAAAGTATATATTAGTTAGGATCTAGTATTATTAATTGAATTATTACTATAAGACCTTGAATTTACCTCAAATAAGATTGGATCGTAAACTTTAGCATTGAGTGTAGGCTGCATTTCACGCACAATGTTCATTGCTTTAATCAAGTTTGGATTACTATTGGATAATTCCTGAAAAATTAAAAATTAATAGGTACTAATAATATACATCAATTCCATTCTCACATTTATTTTTTTTGCCTTCAAATTTTCGAATTTATTAAGTCGACTTTTAAGAGCTGCTATTCCCGGAATTTGTTCCTCATTTAATTTTCTTTCAAGGGCTCGGCGTTCATTGTATTTTTGCATCATGCGATCAGTAATCTTTTGAATTTGTTGTTTTTTTTCCTGTAACTTTGTGTTTAATTGCTGTTTGACAGCGTCATAGTCCTGTAAATCTGCATTATGCGCTTTCATCCGTTCTTCAGCTTTAGCAATATCAGAAATACACTTGATTGAGTTTTCCGTGTTTCTCTAATTAAATAAATAAAATGTTAATAGACACACTAAGTACACTAAAGTATTCAATAACAAAACAAACCTCTAATATATTTTTGCTCTGAAGAATTTTCTGCTTCAAGCAGTCCACCTGATATTCTAGACCGGTTTTCTTTTCAATTTCTTGCATCAGTTCCGTAGTCTAAATTAAAAGAGACTGTATTATAATTTGCCTTTAAATGTATTATGGTTTTGAATTTGACTTATGAAGTCAGTTTGGTCTGAAATTTCGACGTACTTTTTGCAGAGTATCGTTCCTTAATTTCGAAGTCATCTTTATAACTGTATCTTGGGCACGCTTTCCTTGATCATACTTCTTTTTCACGACCGTCAAATTCTTCAAGGCTGCCTGCAGGTCGTTGTTGCAGGTATCTATCTTTTTTTGCCCCTTTTGCACCTCAAGCCACTTCTTCTTTCCAATATAAATATTTAAGTTTTTTACCAATTCCTCGCGCTCATTATACTGGGCAATAGTCGTCTCTAGCCTATTAATAAGATTGCATTAATTTCGCCGATGTCAAGTCCCATATAGAGCCCGTACTTACTTATCCAAACGTTTTTGCTCTCTATCAAGATTTTCGATATCTTTATTACAGGAGGCATGACTGGACAACTGTTCCTTACGAAGATCTTTCAAGTCAGTGAAGCTGTTGATCAGATCACTGTCGCAAATGGAAGACATTGTGTTTAATAACAACTCCTGTGGGTTCATTTTTGCAAAATCCTAATATGCAAACGAAACAATTCAACGTTAATAAATTAATTGTATTGTCGAAAATTGTGTGGTTTTTGTACCTGTACGCGGTCTTGGGGTAAGAATTGGCACAAGTTTTGTACTTGTATGTTGAAAGATGCGACTTGTTCCAGAAACTTTTTCTTTGTGACCTGCTCATTATTGAGCGTATATACCGATTCGCCTTTCCGATTAATAACACGCTGAAATGACACCTTGGAGTCAGTCCTCCTTCCGTGAACAGTCACGACTATTGTGGCCTTCCGCTCGCCACTCTTCACGTAGTCCGCAATGTGCGCGGATCGGTCCAGTACAGCCGGCTCGCCGCCCAAGCCCAATATAATGGCAGACACAATCGTAGACTTTCCGCTTCCATTTGGACCGGTCAGAACGTTTAAGTACATAGTTGGGGAAAACGTGATTTCATTGTACGACCTGCATTTGAATTTGATGCGTTTGCACATGCGCAAGAAAATAAATTGTTATATTAAAGTAGGAATATAAGAAGTGCTAACTCTAGCTACAGCCTTCATTTTATTCACTTTTTACACGTACATATGTACATGTATGTACGCATATACGCATGTATGTATGTATGTATGTCAGAATGTTTGGCAAATGCTTGTTGTGCGTAAATCTGCACAAATGAACATTTACGCTAAGGAACTGATTAAAATTAAATTCGGTAGCCGAAGTTACACGTATAACTCAATTACAATAACGAATTAGGATTGATATGAAGTAAGCTAGGAGTATACATATAAAGAATATTACACAAAGTCTCTGCAGTAAACAGACAATATCCTGCCGGCCAGTTGTTCCGGAGTTAAATCCACCTTAAAGTCCGATTCTGCCTCGTCTCGCATCTCGTGTGTTTTGTATCCATATAATTTAATACGTTAGAAGATCCCGTCAATTCAGATCCGTTCGCGACAATAAAATCCCGCTTATAATTTCTGTAACGCTAAAGAAGCAGCACAAGCAAAATAGCGCGTTTCCACTGGCCGCATTTAGCCGTAGCGACTGTCACAGTAGCGTCCGATTACAGAAAGTGCGCACAAATGGGTGAAATGTCGGAAACACATTACATAGTTATGGTTAAAATACAAAAAGAAGTTTAATTCCTTAAAATATTTATTGCTTAAAATTGGTCTTAGATATTGAATAATTGCGTGTGCAGCTACTACACACTAACTACACACAGAGTTATTGTTATGCTTCTGCTGTGGTTGTTGATAGTGGAAATATATATTAGGTGGCAGTCCCTGGGCTTGAGGCGTGCTGCCAGATCAATGAAAAATGATATCTTGGCGTTTTCAAAAGGACTCTGGCAACTCAAGGCCGCCAATTTTAAATTGTCTGGCAATAGTTTGTTTTGCTTTAAAACCCCATGTTTGTTGTTTTATTATTATAAGTAAAGTGTTTAGATGCAGCGCTGATTACTATCATTTCTATTCGGTGGGAAAAAATAATATCAGAGAGGTGAAGTTAATTAACTTTCACTATTTGAACATAGTTCGTGTAGCTTCTGAGCTTATAATTTTTATTGATATACATACACATTACGTACTATTTAGTATGCTAAATAACGTTTAAAATTGCAAGGTAGAAAGATTGCTTCAAATCTATATTGCAGTCCGTGCTTTTAGTCGATGTTTATTTTAAGTATAGCATACATATGTTAGTTTGAAACGTAGATTAGGTATTTGCTTTGCTTTTAGATTTTTTACTAATTTTTTTTAAATTACAGAAAATGAATGCTAAAATGTCACAAAGTTTAAAGGTAAAAACACTTATTTACGATGCATTGTAATTTAGTAAGCGTCTCTTTAATTGCTACTTTGGTTAACAATTTTTAAACGTTTATATGCCCCCATTCCATTATCCGTTAGGCAATGCTATAATTCGAGTAATAACATAAGCAGCACTATATAAGAAACTTATAAGCATTACAATTTAAGTAATGATTGTTGGAAAACTTTTACCAGTATTTTAATATTTTGAAAAGATAGCAAAAATTATTTAAACTTACTTATTCTCCTAATTCTAAGATCAAACTAAATCTTAAATTAGTTACCCTATCATAATGGGCTCTGTAGCTTTGGACAAGGTTTAAATACATTATTCTTAATAATTCAAATAAAAACTTCGACTTCTGAGGAATTGTAACTAGTATTTAACAATTGCTAAAGTAAAAATAAAAATAAAATATATAATAAAACCGCATTCATTTTTATGGAACAAATTTTTTACAATATACAAGCAACGATTCGAGAATACTAAGACAACGAACATAACTTTCTCAGCTAGTCTCACAAAATATTCTCGATAGCCGATCAGTTACTTTAGTAAAATTAGCTAAGTTCATTTGCAGATCGGGATGGTCGAAGACGGATCCATAAAACCCAAGCGGATTAAATGTCATCTCAATCGGCCTTCTTGGCCTAAGTTTTGGTGCTGCCCGGTTTGTATCTGTATTTAGTATTTATTTGAAATCAGTCAATTTTGCAATAACTCCTATAAAACCGTATTATTATATTATTGAATATGGTTACAGTTTTCGTGAATATATTGAAAGAGGCACAAATCGATTACTGACGATGTTAAGGCATGTATTTTGCCTACGTCCGTATTCGCAGCCAAGATCTGAGTACCCGTAGTGTTTGTAAAATGTGCGTGCAACTTTCAAATCATGACAACGTTTGTTATTTTGGAAATGGAAGTATTCTTCAGTTATAATAATCTGAGCAGGTTCAAATGGAAGTTTTTAAAGATCTTCTGCTTACACGTATACTGTGGAGCGAAATCAAATCCAAAAACATTTTCACAAGGTGATCTTAATGATATCATCCTATGTATATCCTTCAAAAGCGAAATCCTCAAGAAACTACAAGGCTGATAACTATACAGAGTTAGTCAAGGAAATGCTTCTTAACCCCTCAGTTGTAGGTTGTAATATGAGCACAACAGGGCACTTCCTCCATAATTATGTACATCACTTCCAAAATAATTTAGGAAATCTTAATGAAAGCGCTCATATCGAGATATCAAAATAATGGTGAAAAGGTACGATCGGACAAGGCAGATGGGACACTCATATGATGGCTGACAAGGGTGTAGGCAAGGTGGTTGGGCATATAAAAAATTTTGCCATACAAGTATAAGGTCGACCACACGTTCATTATTATGGCGCACTATATTTAAAATGGAACTGAATTGGATTTGTTGAAGTTTTTTCATTGATCATATACATACATTATTATTTTTGTAAATGCATCGTGCTTTATTTAATCAAAATTTAACATTTTTATTATTTAATTTAACATTTATATTACATATATGTAGGACAATGTAATTATCCTTACGAGACTAATCAATATAAATATAGTATGCACATCGAAAACTACTGAGCCACAACAAATAGGAGCGCCAAGTATTTGACTTTACAACTGTGATATTTTAACCAAATTTGGTTTTAAGCCCTAAGTTGAAGTACCAATAATCTATTCAATATATCAAATATAAGTCATAGGATCGAGTCAACAAAGTTTATTTCAGCTGAAAGGCTGTAGCGGGCAAAAGATTGGAATAAGGTACTTATTCTAGAGTCGGACTGGTATGGCTTCACTGTTCTCGTTTTCAGTTCCCACATATTTAAATTCTTAAAAAAAAAAAAATTTCATTTTTGCATGCAGAATAATAAAACACTTGTTCTGGTTTGTCTTGATATTATGATTTAATTTCTATTTTTATACAATTGCTTATCTATTTCTTATCTGATTTGATTATGGGTGTTAACAAACGACAAATGGAACTTTATCATCTTCATCGAGCTGTTGGATTCCATGAGATACCAAGTAAAAAATTGAAATCGATCATTTGCTTAAGCCTGGATTGAATTGGAGGCTATGAAAAGGATGCTACAAGCTTCCTATATACTTGTGTAAGACTTGTGTGTTGCGTTCACTATAAAAGGGATTAATGTTTTGTGGCTTTGAGTTAGACCGGATGCGTGGTATGCGTGGCATCGGCACTGGCGGGAAGTGATCATTCAAGATACCCATCTTTATGTGTAAGTCGCTGTTCTGCAAAAAGCAGCTGTTGTTGTTTTCCGCAGGCTGGACTGCTAAACAACGTTGCTCGTGCAATTTATGATACATATTAAGCGATTTCTTGGCGTGTAAATTGAAAACAGGCACTCCCCAGGAAGAGGGTCGGAAAGGAAAGAGATGGACACGAAGGCGCTCTTTCGGGTGTCATGCCGTGTCGGTGATTGTTAAGTGCGATCGCCACTTTCTTAAACAAAAACAATTTGGCGTTCACTCGGCGATTTTCTCCCAAATTGGTAATGCAAAAGAAACCATAATTAAAACATTTGTCGACTCTAAGTGGTGCGGGTAACCAGACCAAATTGTAAATTACACGGTCGCTTAGCCACTGCCATTGCCACCCTGACTTGCACACCGAGTGGTTGCAACACAAAATTGTAATTACAATTTCCTGGCGCTTCAGCCTCGACCACTGCCACGGCCACGGACTAAGAAGGGAGGTTGCTGGTCTCCGCCTTTGCCCGCGCGTGCTAAAAAGAAAGCACGCCTCTGTTTCCTATCATCGACACATAAAAAACGGTCCTTTAGTGTCATACGTGACAATTTGTCGATACGTGAATTTCCCCACCGGACGGACGGACAGTAATGCCCTCGGGCCTTGGGCGCCGTTCGCGGCCGTTTATTTCCACCCGCAAATCGCACAAACATGTGGCAACCCATAATTTACGCTGAGGGAGTTATGAATATGATTAGCATACGAGTAGACAGAGTGTACAGAGTCTTTCGCGCACAGCTGACAACCTGCTCACTTATTTAAGAAATCGAACTGGATATTATTGAGAATGAAGCCTTTGTCAATCATCATCCAGATTAGGCCAAAATATTTTGACAATGATTGCGGCATCAGCACTAAGTGGCATTCCAAATTGAAATTGTTACAAGCCCTTTAATCCAGAGCCCCCCTCCACCCCCTGGCACACTTACCCTTTTCCCTTCTTTACGCGAAATTTAAATTACCTATTTGACAAATAAAGCCAAGTGGAGTATAACAAAACACTTTTAAGTTTCAACACAAATTGTTAGATCAAAAAACACAATTGGAAAATAACCATCTGTCAAAATTCACGGCTGTCCACACACAATCTGTCGACGAAGTTTATGTTGAGGTTCAGTGCCCCACCCCCTCCCAGCAAGCCTTTTGCCTAATCTGTCCTTCTGCAGTATAGATTTGAAACATTCGCCGAGCCACATATACAGTGCTCGTACAAAATTTGTATACTTATAATTATATAGTACTTGTATTGTACGAGTGTGTATGCTCGTATATGTGTTTATGTTCCCGGTGCACTTGTCAAGTGTTGGCGAACCAACAGAGCCCAACAGCATCATTAAAAAATACCCTTCTCGTTTATCAACTTGCCACATTGCCGGCGTGGGCTAACCACCAATGTAGGCAGGGTCGTGGGCTCTGAGCCCAGCTAAGGGTAAGGGTAAGTACAAACGCATAATTTTAAATGTTTGAATGTTAATGTATTACCTTTCACGCACACAAAAACACACACACACACATACACACACCTACCATGGAAGGCGTTTAATAGCGCTATTACACCCTCAATTAGCTTTAAATCGGCTGCACGCTTAGAGGTACAACTCATGGGTGCATCGTGTCCTTCACCCTAGTCTATCATGCTTACGAGTCCAGAAGAATACAAATCATGCTCGGCTCTTAAAATCTGTTTTATATTCAATCAATTGAATCGATTTCGATTCGACTTCGATTTTGGAATTTATTTACAATTCAAAGGCATACTGCGGCCCTCAGTCTGCTTATACAAATGTATTCCAAAATCAGAAAGATGAAATCGCTGACGGCAAGGCACGGTTGTCCTGTTCGCTGAGCACATCTGAAAATGTAAAGG